ATGACTTCCCCTTCTATTTCCCAAGGAGTGATGGGGCCGGATGCCATGATCTTAGTTTTTTTGATGTTGAGCTGCGAGAGTTGGACTATAAGGGAGGCCAAGCGGTGAAGAATAGATTCTTTTGAACTATGGTGCTGGAGAAGACTCTTGAGAGTTCCTTGGACTGCAAGGAGATCAAATCAGTCAATCCTAGAAGAAATCAACCCTGACTGTTCCCTGGAAGGCCAGATGTTGTTGTTGTTCAGTCGCACAGTCGAGTCCGACTCTTCGCGACCCCATGGACCAGATCACGCCAGGCCTTCCGGTCTTCCGCCATCCTCTGAAGTTTGCTCAACTTCATGTTCGTTGCATCTATGACACTGTCTAACCATCTGTCTAACAAGGCCAGATACTGAAGCTCAAATACTGTGGCTACCAAATGAGAAGGGAGCACTCACTGGAGAAGACCCTGATGCTGGGAAAGATAGAGGGTCAAAGAAGAAGAGGACGGCAAAGGATGAGATGATTAGACAGTGTCACCGATGCAATGAACATGAAGTTGAGCAAACTTCAGACTGTGTGACTGAACAACAAAGATGAGGCTGCAGTGGAAGGTAACAAAGGTGGTTTGGAACATGACCTCTTCATCATTTTATGGATATCATATGTAAGAGGCTTAGAAGACACACACACTCTAGTCCATTTTAGACCTTAATAGCTCTTCTAAGAAGTATGTTTGCTCTAGGTGCTTCTTAGAATTGGCTAGAAGTAAGGAGGAAACATTTACCTGGCAACATCAGAGCATATGCTGCTAGGACACGTCCCTGTGTGTTGACTTTCCTAAATTACCATCAATGACATACAAGCATCAGTGTTGTTGTTTGGAGAGCTGATTGCCCTATCCCACTTTGCCTTGCCCCTCCCCTTCCCACAACATGGTCTACGGGTAACAAATGGCTACTATGAGGGGAAAGGTGCAGCTATCCGTGATTTTTCCAGTCACTGGAGTGGAGTAATTCCATCTGGTTGAAGCATCAAACATATGCTTATCAGAAGGGGGACATTGCTTCTTGACTATGTAGTGCCATCTGCATATGCTGTACATTAATTTGAATGTAGGAAAGCCCCCCCCCCAAGGAACCCCAAGTTCAGATATGACTGCAATTCATCGTAATGGTTCCAGCAAGACATTAGCTGTACCTGGATTAAAACAATTCAGATTTTTTCCCCATATTTCCAGTTTTCCTGTAATTTTCAGAAAAAATTCACATTCTATATATTGAGTTATGATACCAGAGGCATCACAAAGGCAAATATACTGGCTTGAATGCTATGAACAAATTCCATCCGTGTTAGATAATCTCTGCTGTGGAGTGTGCTTCCTGTTCCACTAAAGCGCCCGTTTGCACAAGGGCCAAATGAAAAGTATTGGTTTTGAGCTAATGGAAGTTTTAGGGGAAGATGAAGCACACTCCAAAACAGACACTGTCCAATGAACTTTTCTCTTCTTCATAGGGTCCCAGCCTTTGTGTTCTACAGCACAGCGAGCCAACATTTCTTTAAAACTTTTTTTTAAAATCAAAATTTCCCAAACTTCTAAAGGTTAATCAGAAAATACAAAGGAGGAGATCAATAAAGTCTTGCTTGTGCATCTACAGATTAACAACTAGATCTGCATTACTTACATTTACAGATGTACTCCATTAAAAACCCCTGGTTGGACTTATTCACTCTTTAAATAGAAGAAGAGTTGGTTCTTATATCTGACATTCCTCTACCATAAGGAGTCTCAAAGCGGCTTACAATTGCCTTCCCTTCCTCTCCCCACAACAGGCACCTTGCGAGGTAGGTGGGGCTAAGAGAATTCTGAGAAACTGTGACTCTCCCAAGGTCACCCAGCAGGCTTCATGTGGAGGAGGGGGGAATCAAACCCAGCCCTCCAGTTCAGAGTCCACTGCTCTTACCCACTACACCATGCTGGCACAGAAACAGTCTGTGTACCTTTCACAGCTTCATATACACCAGTCCTAGAAATCTACAGCTAAAGTAAGACATCCTTGCTGTCTGATGTTTCTGTAATGCTCAATAGCACTGAATTACAGAAGTACTGAATAAAGTTTCTGTAATACTTCCAAAAATGGCAACTGGGAACAGCGGGGGAAATGACCGAGTCTTTATATTATCATCAATTAGTGATTACAGGGGCTTTTCACCATCCTTCACTGTCACACTACAGTGTGGCTGCTTGGTAGCTGCAATTTTTTAAATGTCATCTCCACAGCAAAATGGCAGGAATCTGACTATTCAGTAAGCTACAGATAGTGACTATTTGTGTACCACACTTCACAACATGCAAGTGCATCCCTTCAGTAGGAAACAGTGAAAGCTGTTAAATGATTTACCCTCACTTATGCAAAAAGCCCTCTGGAAGAACCAGGATTTCTCCCCCCCAAACTACAGAAGTAGCTTCTTGTTTTCCTGAAGCATATTCATCCTGTATATTCCATGTGCTTAAAGTATGGTCTTAGGACCCAGCAGATATTTCTAAGGCTACATTGATCACTGAAGAAAAACCATACAAGTATAGTCCCCTTGTAAGAGGAAGGGCATGAAATGAGCAGAGGAGTTAGTTACCACGAGCCTATGCTTCATATTCTAAGGGATACAGCTAAATCAGAACCCAATGATATCCATTCTTCTTTTACATTTTTATGTCCACAGAAGCTGTGTTCAGTGCAAGATGGGGGGAAACACAGAAAAGGTTTAGTGTGAAGTTTTAAATGGCCTTAATGCTGATATGGATTCATCCAAAGGATGAACTTATTTTGTACCAAAATCTCTTACAAATCCAGTTGGTGCCACCCCTCCCACCAAATGGGTTACCATCTGCAGACTTTAATCAGTTGGCTATTTTCTGAGATTTCACACAGCAGGTTAGATCCTGTCTAACGGGTGCATACTCACAAAAGGGGGGGGGGGAGATTGTTGCCAGTACCACCCATCTATTGCTGCCTTCCAACTCCCCCCCCTCCAAAAAAACCCCTGTTCCTTGGGGCCGTCTCCCAGAAGCAGCATGGGGGGGGGCTTCTAAGTTGCCATAGGGGTGAAGAAAATTGCATTCTGCATCCTACGGCCTGTGATAAATTCTGGTGGGATCCAAGTCCCAGATCTTGGCAGCCCATAATGACCAAAATTCAGAAGAGACTAGAAAACAATAGCTCAGGCACTCTCTCCAAGGCTCTAACTAGAATGTTTACCTGCCCTGTTCCTCTCTTACGTCTTCAAAAGCTCTTCGGCCATTTCAGGCTTGGACAAGTTGTATCACTACAAATGATGTTTCAAGGCATATGTAACATTTTGTTCTTTGCAGGGAATGGTAACTTGTGTAGAACAACAAAAAGCCATTCTCCTACCCAAAGATCCCTAAAAGTCATTAAAAATCAGAATTGCACTAACAGCTTGGAGAACAGGCTGTAACAACGAACAATTTACACATTAGAAGAACACGATGAAGACGTCTGAAGCAAGAGGAATCAATGAGTTTTTGACTCGAGGACACACCTGTTATTCGGAAGCTGTGATGCTCAGTGTTCAGTAATGCCCAAAGAGCATTCACTTAGCGGCTCTGTAAAATTCCTATCCAGACATTTTTTTTCAAGACCAACTATGATTTCACCATCACAAGCCCAGATCGCATGATTTGGTGCCAAAGAATGCTAGTTTAATTTTCTTCCTACAGACTACTGATAACACACAGCTGAGCGGAGAGCTGGGATAAACAAAAAAAGTGGAACTGTGGGCAAATCTGAAAAGACCAGTGTTACCTCCAGGGGACAGATTTGCCAGTAAGACTGTGGTACCTTTTCAACATCAAGATTCTTTTTTTAAAAAAAAGTTAGCATGTATAGAACTCAAGCAGAGTGGGTAGAAGCAAAGGATAATGTGGCTGATGAAGTGAACCCTCTTTGACAGGCGAAAAGAAGAAAAAGAATTAATGAAGCCAACAGTATCAGTTCTACAAGCTCACGCTCCCCAGTGGTTCTCTTTAAAAAGAATGGGAAAACTTGGTATTTTCTGTTGCCCATAACAACCTTAAAGCAGGTTTCAGCAACCTATGGCTCAGGAGCCAAGTGGGGCTCGGTACAAAGCCAAATATGCCTGTGTGAGCACAGCACGGGGCATTCGCTTCCCTGTGGGACATGCACCTTTCAGTATCACGGCCAGTACATGGCAACAGTAAAGCAGGTGGGCAATTTCAGGCTTCCAGACCAGCTCTGGATGGCCAACAGCAATGCACAGAAGTGACAGAAGCTACTTCTAGCATCGTCCGCCTCCAAGTTGCACCCTCACCCTGGTTGGCCACTCCTAAGATGGCGACTGCTTGCAAGTCCAGGGATCCACAAGCAAGGAAGGGGAGCTGCAAGAGGGATCAGACAAAGCAGGAACAGGGAGGCTGAAAAGACAGAGGAAGAGGACTGCTGAGGAGGCTGTCATTGTCCAGGGTGGGGCGATAGCAGGCAATCAAGTGACAGGAGAGAGGATGGATGAATGCAAGAAGCTGAACTTGATCAGTTATGATGCAAGCTTCCAAAGAAATGGGCAAAATGATGCAAAAGAGGGCACTGTCATCTTCCGGCCACAAAACCCTTCCTCTTGTTGCTGTCCATTTCCAAAGGACTCCACTGGCTCAAGACCATGCATGTCCACTTGTGAATTAAGTGCTCAGAGACAGAAAGATATTTAAATACCCTTTCCTTCTACTACCAAAACATATTGATACCCTCTGGTATTAATGCAGTCACACTGCAAGAACACAAAGTTACAAGCAGCTAATTCATAAACTGTTGCTTAAACTTTCCTCCCTTGATTTTGAGTAAGGCCCCTCACCTACAACATGGGTCAGTCTGTCAACGAGAAGCTTACTTCATAAATCAAGTTGAAAGCAGGCTCATGAACCCTAGTAGAATGTGAGGCATTCAAGTAACAGCTTTTTAGTATTACTAATTACAATAAATATGTCAAGTTACATTGGCACTAGATGCCCGGAGAGGTCAACAAGCTGTTCGTGGCTTCATTTGGTTGCCTTAGAGATGCCTCTAGCTCAGCCCACGCCCGAGAAGTGTTGTTCTTAAGTGCTTCCAAGAACAGCTGTGTTTGCTGCTTCAGCTGGTCCAGCTCCACCTGGGTCACTAGGTTCTGACTGATCAGCTTCTTGGTTTTCAATGTGATGTCCAGCAGTCCAGACTTGTGCAGCACCACCAATGTGTTCTGGAAACGTTTATGCTTGCCCGGCTGCTGCGATGGCAGGTCTGAAGAGCTGCTGAGTTCCTTCCCCAACACAAGTGGGTTGCACAATGCAGACTGTGCCACATCCCGTGCTTGACTTTCTGATGCAGGGGAAGCGGGCGTAGAGGATGCTGGGGCACAACCCAGAGCCTTTGACTTAGTAATGGAGATGTGCTGAAATCCATGAACAGCTGTTGCATTTCGGCCTGGGACATCCTGCCAAAGAAAGTTCCATGAAGGTCTCAAAGCAAGTGGTCCTTGGTGACAAAGACCAGAAGGCAAGGAGCTTACCTGGTTTGGGGATGTGCCTGTCCTGCCGGTACAAAGCCGCTTCTGCTTCCTGGTTTCTTCTCTATCTTCCAGGCCCCTTTTGTGTGGCTGTAGAGCTATCTTTGCATAGGAGTTCAAGATGGGCAGGAGATCAAAAGAGTCACCTTTCTCCTCCCTAGTTGCTTGAAGGGTCACAGCAGAAGGAATGGGTGGACCAAGAACCACAAGTGGTTGGTGAGTCGAAATTGTCTCCCATGAAGGCTGTACAGTCCAAGGCCGAAACTGTGATGAGTTTCCTTCCTGAGAAATATTGGCAGAAAGAAGGGAGAAAAAGTAGAATTACCATGACTAATGTAAAGAGGATGAAAAAGAAAAACCAGAGAAGCGTTTAGGAGAACCATAGAATCACAGAGCTGGAAGGGACCTCCAGGGTCATCTAGTCCACTGAAATGCATGCAGAAGGCTGCCCACTAAACCCATGAGTTCCTCAGGAAAAAAATAGGACATTTGTAAGTACTGAAAGGTCATTTCATCATTACTGCCAAACATCCAATATATAGAAGCCATTTCATTTTAAACATTCTTTCCTTAAAAAAATAAAGAGAGAGGGAAAAACAGCCATGCATTTACAGTTAGGCTGAAGCTTACAGAAACCACTGCTGAATTTTGGATTACAGTAAACTAATGGCCATTAGCAATCAGTAGAAGACAGTTGTTAGAAACAGAAGATGACACAACCTTTTAGAAATCCATCAAGTAAGCTGCTCTTACTACATTTAATCAAAGGAACAGGAAACCAGAGTCTGAAAAAAAACTGTGCAAGGAATTTTACCAAAGAGGCTTCTGTTATTTTCCTAAAATGCACTTTAAATAGCCTGAAGTAGACCTGATAGTACCTGTTGATTACAAATGCTCCAGCTTGGAAGTGAACTCAGGGAATACAGAAAATGCTGCAACTTGAGCCTCCCACTTCTATCCAGCAGAGCCTTTCTGTGAAGGGAATGATTTCCATCCACAGAGCACCAATGTCTCACCTCCCCCATCCTGCTGCAGTTCACAATGCCCTACAAAATTCTGCTCTTGGGAAGTGGCAGACTCCAGGAACAGAATTCTGGAGGGGCAGTCTGGCCTACGGGGAGGGGGGAGGAAGGAAGGAAGTCGCACCTGTGGGTGAAAAACTTCCCATCTGCAGAAATGCTCAGTTGGCCCCAAGCGTCTATTCACAAAATTTTAGTTGGCGCACCAAACTGAAGAATCGTGCACATGGACATCTCTCCCATGATGATACTTTCAGAGAACTCTACTTCCCAGCCCTGCCAATCTAGTGATAATATTTATATTCTCCCTCTCTGTGTACCTAATACTACAATATGAAATGATAACACAATAACCAATAAATCTCAAAACTCAAAAGGAACTGATGAAGCAAAGAACACGTCAGATTAAGAGCTTTGACATATCCTAAAAGCAGTGTTAAAAGAGCCTCAAAACCAACAAACAAAAAAGGAGTAAAACCAGGAAGAGGTAGCTGGTCTCAACAGCTTGGAAAGAATTAAAAAAAACCCCTTTGCCTAGCACTTAAAAGAGCAGGCCCCTGTGTGGAGGAACGTCCACAGCTAAGGCTCCATAACGGAAATGGTCCTGATCCCGGTGCTCATCTAACCTCCTTGCTTCTGAATGTGAGGGCATAGAGAGTCAGGCCTCCAATAATGACTGCAACTGGGACACACACGCAGACATTGTGTTCACTTATGCCCCCTATGGGCAACCAATATGAACTCAAACTGAAGCCAGCTGCTAAGAAAAACAATTACCATGTTCACAGAGTTAGAGAACTAACAGGTATAACCCACTAATCCATTCAGAGATTTCCTAATATTCTAATTACCAGGCACAGAAGACTCCCCATTCAAGAGAACTACCTAGAATAGCCAGGAGATAAGATGGGACTTTTAAAAAGATGATGACAACAGCAGCACTGGAGAGACTTTTTTCACTTTCTGTAAGTGAAACAGAAACAGTCACAATGCTTGGAGGGAGGGATCCCATAATAAACCCCCCAAATAATACTTCTCTTTTGGGGGACCTTAATGGATGGGATTCATTTTACTGAAAATGAATCTGCCCTGAGGTTGGTCTAGTAACCCTGGTATATGGAGCAAGAGCTTGCTCTGAGACATGAAATGTTTGAAAATTTTCCAATTATTTTAAAATTATTCAATGCCTGTAGGCTTCCCTGGCTCAGCGCAGCCTTCTGTGCTTCTGTTCTCTGCATAATGTGAACCATAGATGGGGTAATGGCAATGTGCATTTGGTTTAACAATGGATGGACTCTGCGTCAGACTACAACGTGGCTTTCGGGTAGTCCAAAGATTCTGTTCACTTAGGGGCTTCTATTGCCAAGAGATTCATTGCCTTGAAAGACCCAGAGTTTCTTTTTTTTTTAAGTTCAACCTCGCCTCCGATCCACATTTGTCTGCCAACCACATCACTGGCTCTTACTCCAGACTCAGTATGATGCATCATCCAGAGAACTCGCCTAAAAATAGTTTTGTGGCCTGAAGGTGGATTCCATTCATTTGTCTTTGAAAACATTAAATGCATTTATTCATCTTGTTGATATATACACATGCACTGGAATGATTTCGAAAACAACCCATGACAGCATGAGTTTTCCTCATGTAGAAGCAAACTTTGGGTGCATAAATGTTTTCATGGGGATACAAGATTGCAATCCTGTGAAGGCCCTTTAGCATGCTGAAAAGGGTCAGGTCTCCTTATCCATTCAGGTTTTATTGCACATAAAATTCAAGATTCTTTAAACCACAACATGCGACCACAATTTAGAAGTTCAGACCAGGTCATCTTTCCTCTAGGCATCACAAGTGGTGTAATGTATTTTACATTTGTTATTCAATGTACTTTTATGTTGCCTTCCAGTTTCAAATCAACCCCCCCCCCGGTCAAACATAACATATAACATCATTGAAATATTATAAAACAGCAAGCAAAGCACACAAAAAGAAATACAGTTAAATCAGTTCCAAGACCTTCAGGAACAGAGCTCCATGATATACCTTGAAGCACATGATGCAACCTCCTTGATGATGCTAACCAGGTCAAAGGTCTAATCAGTCCCTGGACAGGAAACCTACTGGAATACAGTTATGGCACCTTGGGTTCCAGAATAGAAAAAGAAAGTGGGATATAAATAACAAACAAGTTTGCTCCACAGAGACAGTGCCAACCTTACAGGGGAGGGGGGTGGGAGATGCCAACTAGATCCTTCCCTCAAGTCCCTGCCAACCTAATCTCAGGTTCCCACAGAAAGGCTTAACCAACTGATCTTAATGCTTGCCTAAGTTGATAAAGGAGGAGGTGGTCTTTCTGGGCCTTTGGAACCAAGCCATTTAAGGGCTTTAAAGATCCAAAATATCACCTTAAATTAGGTCCAAGAACAAACTGGAGCCAGTGCAATTGGAAAGGCACTCCCTTTATATGTGCCCATCACCAGTCAGGGTTCTAGCAGCCCTGTTCTGCACCAGTTGAGGTTTCCACACCATGCAGAGCAAGTTGCGGTAGTACAGCCTGGATGTTGTTGGGACACGCAAGATAGAGGCCAGGTCAGCCACAGGTCAAGTTAGAACAAAGTTTTGACAATCTAAAGTAATAATCCCCAAACATGTAGTGGTTAAGTACGCAGACTCTAATCTGGGAGAACCAGGTTTGATTCTCCACTCCTCCACTCGCAGCTGCTGAATGACCTTGGGCAAGCCATAGTTCTGTCAGAGCTGTTCTTGAAAGAGCAGTTCTTAAAAGAGCTCTCTCAGCCCCACCTACCTCACAAGGTGTCTGTTGTGGGGAGGTGAAGGAAAAGGAGTTTGTAAACTGCCCTGAGACTCTGAGTGAAGGGTGGGGTATAAATCCAATCTCCTCCTCCTCCATCATGCTGAAACTCTGCACATATATTAGAAGTTTTTTTAAAGAAATTCTGCACATATATTAGAAGTTTTTTTAAAATGACATTTGCAGGGGGGTTTCCAGTTTGGTGTAGTGGTTAAGTGCTTTTGATCATGATCATTGCCTCCTTTGGTCCTTCCAAAAACAAGGGGTCAGAAATGTTCTGGAACCTTATGCATGTAATAACAACTTCTCTGTCCAGTTCCCTAGTATGTTGTTGTTGAGAATGAACTCATTGAAATGTTTCTCCTTTTAACTACTGCTGCTGTATTGTTCCAGGAGAAAAGCAACACAATTGACTGTGATTGCACATCAAGCAAATAAAAATCACACTGCGTATTTAAAAAATAAAATGGGATAACCTTTATCTTATGTATCTGATGAAGTGTGCATACTTATAGGCAAAGGTAAAGGTTCCCTTGCTTGAAAGCCAGTCGAATCCGACTCTAGGGTTGTGGTGCTCATCTCCGTTTCAAAGCTGAAGAGCCAGCCCTGTCCGAAGACATTTCAGTGGTCATGTGGCTGGCATGACTAGACACTGAGGCGCACGGAACGCTGTTACCTTCCCACTGAAGTGGTACCTATTTATCTACTTGCAATTTCTTGCTTTTGAACTGCTAGGTTGGCAGGAGCTGGAACTAGAGACGGGAGCTCACTCCATCATGCGGCACACTCGGGTCTTGAACTGCTGAACTACCAACCTTCCACAGCCTGCAGTTCAGCATCTTAACCACTTGAGCCACCGCAGCTCCACATGCATACTTATACCCAGAATTAAACTTCGCTGGCCTTAAAGGTGCCACTGGACTCAAACATTGTTCTATTGCTTCAGACCAACATGGCTACCCACCTGAATCTTTATCTTACCTGTCTGACTACTGTGTTTTTCATTACCATCATAGGAGAAAATGTAGCTGCTGAGCTCTGCCATGAAGCTCTCAGAGCATCCTTTGAGTTGGTTGGTTCAGATGAACTCAGGTAATCCAAGCTGCCATCTAGGTAGAAAGAAAATTCAATTACTGGCTGTCATGGACAGCGTTCCGTGCGCTTTGGTGTTTAGTCATGCTGGCCACATGACCACGGAAACGTCTACGGACA